CTAGGCCCCAAACGTCAGCCTTCCTGCTCCTCTGATGCTGCTTGGCCTGCTGTGTTCATCCAGCTCTACACCTTGTTATCTCAGATTCTCCAGCATCTGCAGTTCCTGATATCTCCAGCACATAATAGGATTTCTGCCACGCCTAGTATTCGGAGTAATCACATTGCCATTCGGGACTGAGTCTCACCACATTTTTCCAGTTAATCCTCACTGAAGTAGCATGCTGGAAATCAAATATCACGAGTCCCATTTCCATCACGAAAGTTAAATATTTTACAAAATACACGAAATTCCCCACTTTTCCCGTCTCCTCGAGTCAGGTTGACAGAAAGCACGACTATTGCAATAAGAGTTGCTATTTATTAAAAATAAATAGATTCCAACTATAGATAAATAATTATGAACGTATTATTCCATCAGGATAACTGGGTGTTGGGGTTGTGTGTAGTATGTATATGCGTGTGCTGCCTTATTATGACAAATTTGTCTTCCTAATTATTCGCTACTTATAATGCCAGTTTTTACTACTGTAACCAGCAAGAACACTTTCCACATGTGCTGTTTCCACCCTCATAATTTGAGAAATATTCTCCAAGACACCCAAAGCGAATTGTGGATCAACTTTAGCTAACAAAAGAAGTTAAAAGATTGCATTAGATCACAGGGAGTAGCTTATAATGTTACTAGAAAAAGTGGTATGCCTGAGGATTTAGAGGTAATTCTCCAAATTGGGAAACCGACAGAGCAGAAAGTAGGAGTAAATGGGTCATTCTCAGGATGGCAGGCTTGACCATTAGTTACCACATCTGGTGATTGGTTAGTTCAGTTGGCTGGATAGGTAGTTTGTGATACAGAGTGATGCCAACAGCATGGGTTCAATTGCTGCACCAGCTAAAGTTACCTTGTAGATTGCACCTTCCCAATCTTGCCCTTTGCCTGGAGTGTGGTGACCCTCAGGTTAAACTACCATGAGCCATATCTTTCTAATGGGGGAGCAGCCGTATTGTCCTCTGGCAACCTTTTTCCTGAAAAGGTAGAATAAAGCCAGCTCCGAGCCATTTACAATCTATAAAAATGGTGGGACCAATTGTATTCCCTAATTTGCTGATGATACCAAATTGGACGGGAATGTAAATTATGAAGATGATTCAAAGATGCTTCAAGAGAACTTGGAAAGACTAAGTGAGTGGGCCAGAACATCACAGATGGAACATGGTCTAAATGAATGTGAAGTTATTCACTCTGGTAGAAAAAACAAGGCGGTAGAATATTTCTCAAATTATGAGAGGTTGGAAATGGCAGGTGTCCAAAGTGTCATGACAGTCCTAAAAACTGACATTTACAAGTAGCAAACAATTAGGAAAGACAAATAGTATATTGGTCTTCATCAAGAAGGGCCAGTTTACTTTTGTCACAGTCACAGAGGATGTCATTGGTGGCTCTGATTCAGGACTGTAGCAAGGGCAGAAACCTGACTTGAGGGACTCAAACATGGAGTCCCAGGAAAGGCAGGCATGGATTTCAGAGTTGTAAAAACGCTCAATGAGTTCAAAACCACACGGCATATTTTTAAGATGAGAGGACAAAGTTTTAAAAAGGACATGAGGGGTACCTTTTTTTTATACAGAGTGGTTTGTGTGTGGAATGAACTGCCAGAAGAAGAGGTGAATGCAAGTACAGTTGCAACATTTAAAAGACGTTTGAATAAGTACATGAATAGGAAAGGTTTGGAGGGATATGGGCCAAACACAGGCAAATGGGACTAGTTCAGTTTGAAACGTGGTTGGCGTGGACTAGTTTGACCAAAAGGTCTATTTCCATGCTGTATGACTCTATGACTGAGGAGAAGAAAGGGAGGGTGGAGAGAGGGATATTATTTAGAAGCTCAATGAGGCAAGGTCTATTTCTTCAGGAAAGAGTGTATATTGGAGGTTTTGGAGAGTGGCGTGGTACCTGAAGAGATTGATCAGTTAACAGTATCAATGAACATGGGGAGGTTGTGTTAGTGTGAATGGGATCAAGGGAGCAGAAAGCGATCTCTTGGGCAAGATGCACTCTGATAGGGTATGAAGAAAGATTGGAGGGAAACTGGAGAAAGATGTGAGTTTAGTGTTGGGACAAAGAGGAACTTTAGAAACTCTATGACCCAGTGGACTAGTGGATAGGAGGGAAGCAGCAGAGGCAGCTGATCAGATTGTCTCGGTTTTAGTGACAAAAATACCCGAACAAACTCCTCGCACTTGTTGTTGGAGGTGAAGATGGAGAGATAAGGGAGAGGGAAACCTATCAAAAAGAATTAACTTGTGTTTGAGATATTAAAAAGACTCAACATACCATATATTGAGCACAAAACTAATTTATTTGACTGTATCCAAAACATTAATTACTATAACTGGGCTGGTGTTTAGTATCATCAGCAGAAACAGATCCCAATGAACATGGTTCAGGCCTGTATTTGATTAACAGCAAAATCCAATCACTTTCGTTTCTTGTGAACTCGTTGATGTGTCAGCAGGTGGGATGACTGAGTGAATCCCTTCCCACACTCGGAGCAGGTGAATGGCCTCTCCCCTGTGTGAACACGATGGTGTGTCAGAAGGCTGGATGACTGAGTGAATCCTTTCCCGCACATGGAGCATGTGAACGGCTTCTCCCCAGTGTGAGTTCGCTGGTGTACGGTGAGTTGAGATGATTGTCTGAACCCAGTTCCACAGTGAGAGCACCTGAATGGTCTCTCGTCAGTGTGAACACTTTGGTGGGATGTCAATTCCTTGGAGGTTTTATAGCGCTTTCCGCAGTCTGGGCATTTAAAAGCTCTCTCGTCAGTGTGAATGCGCTGGTGTGTCAGCAGCTGGGATGACTGAGTGAATCTCTTCCCACAATTGAGACAATTGAATGGTCTCTCCCCGGTGTGAACTCGCTGGTGTGTGAGCAAGTTAGAAGAACAAGTGAAACCCTTCCCACAGTCAGAGCAGGTGAACGGTCTCTCACCCGTGTGGCTGCGCCGATGAGTTTCCACCTCAGATGGGGATTTGAATCCCTTTCCACAGTCACCACATTTCCACGGCTTCTCCCCATTGTGTCTGCATTTATGCTCTGAGAGGTTGGATGATTGGCTGAAGCCTTGGCCACACAAAGAACACGTGTACAGTTTCTCCCCCACGTGAGTGCTTTGGTGTCTGTGTAAGTTGAACAACTGAATAAATCCCTTCCCACATTTGGAACAGGTGAACGGCCTCTCCCCAGTATGACTGCGGCGATGAGCTTGCAGCCACGATGGGTGAATGAATCCCTTCCCACACTCGGGGCAGGTGAATGGCCTCTCCTCCATGTGACAGCGCTGGTGAATTTCCAGTTGGGACAGTTGACTGAATCCTTTCCCACAGTCTGCACATTTCCATGGTTTCTCTCCAGTGTGACTACGTTTGTGTCTCGACAGACCTGATGACTGGCTGAAGCCTCGCCCACACAAAGAACATCTATACGGTTTTCCACCAAGGAGAATGCTATTTTTTCCTTCCATGTTCAAAATCCAATGATATTCAGCTTCTGATAGACTGATAGTACCTGAAAAGACACTTACTTTGAATTTCTCATTGTAATTTCACCATTTCTAATATCCTGTGACAATAATTTAAAACAGAAAAACAGGAGTGAGAGACAGTCCACAGAAACACTAAGGCATGCTGTGAAAAGGAGCCAAACATTTGTGGGGTCTTCTCCGGGAAACATTAACTGCAAAAGTTGCCCAATTGTCACTAAACCTTGACTGGATCACTAATATCCTTCAGGAAAGAAATCCTGCCACCTGGTCTGTGTCCACACATAGGAATATGGAACTTAGAAACAGTAAGACATTCAGTCCTTCAAGCCCTCCCATTGAATAAATGATGGCTGGTCTGTTTGTGGTTTTAGTTCCAATCTCCTAACTGAACCCCCATAACCTCAAACTCACTTGTCTACGAAAAATCGATCTTACTCAGCCTTGAATAAATTTAAAGACCCAGCATCCACTATCTTCTGTGGAAGAGAATTCCACACACCAGCATCCGTAAGTGAAAAAAAGTTCTCGTGTCCAACTTAAAAAGGAGACCCCTTATTCTTAATGTGGTTCTAGGCTCCCCAAGTGAGGAAACATCCTCGTGGTATCCTCCCTAACCAGTCCCCTGAACTTTTTAAAAGTCTCTCATTCTTTTAAGTCCCGATTGATATAGATCTAATTGTTTCCAAACCTTTCCTAAGAGCAACCTTTGTCTAAAGAATGAGACAAGTGAACCTTTTCTGAATTACTCCTAAAGCAAATATGTTTCAAATAAGGGGACCAGAACTGTATGCATTCACCTGATGTGGTCTCACCAATGCTCTGTGCAGCTGCAGAAAATCTTCTCTTATTTTCTATTCCACCCTCCATTCCAATAAACAACATTCCATTTGCTTCCTGATCACGTGCCATACCTGCATACTAACTGTCGGAGATACGTGTACCAAGACACCGAGATCCCTCTATACTGAAGAATTCTACAATCTCTCTGTTCTAATGGCATTCTGGTTTTCTATTCTTCCACTCAAAGTGGAAAGTTCACACGAAGCCTTGTTACAGCCTTGGTTCAAATTTGGATAATATAGCTGAATTCCAGAGGTGGGCTAAGAGTGGCTGCCCTTGCTATCAAGGCCACATTTGATCCAAGAGCCCAAGCAAAACTGGAGTTGATGTGAATCAGAGAAAATCTCTCCACTGGTTGGAGTCATACCTGGTACACAGGAAGGTGGTTGTGGTTGTTGGAGGTCAGTCATCTCAGCTCCAGGACATCTCTGCAAGAGTTCCTCAGAGGGGTTGTCCTAGGTTCAGCCATCATCATCAATGCTTCATTGATGACCTTTCCTCCATCATAAGATCAGAAGTGGGGATGTTCAGTGATAATTGCACAATGCTCAGCACCATTCACAACTCCTCAGATACTGATGCAGTCTGTGTTCAAATGCAATAAGATCTGGACACTTTCCAGGCTGGGTCTGAAAAGTGGCAAGTAACATTCAAGCAACACAAAAGCCAGGCAATGACCATCTCCAATAAGAGACGATCACCTCTTGACATTCATTAGTGTCACCATCACTGATTATCCCAAAGTGAACATTCTGGGGGTTACCATTGAATAGAAACTCAACTGGACTAGTCATATAAATACAGTGGCTACAAGAACAAATCAGAGGCTAGGAATACTGTAGTGAGTAACTCACCTCCTTACTCCCCAAATTCTATCCATCATCTACAAGATACAAGTCAGGATTGTGATGGAATACTCCCCACATGCCTGGATGAGTGCAGTTCTAACAACATTCAGGAAGCTTGACACCATCCAGGACAATGCAGCCCGCTTGATTGGCACCACATTCACTCAGTAGCAGCAGAATACATAATCGACAAGATTCACCGCAGTGATTCACCTTTAGTAAGGCTCCTTAGATAGCACCTACCAAACCCACAAACACTGCCATCTACAACAAGGTCTGCAGATATATGGGAACTAAGAACGCCTGCAAGTTCCCCTCAGAGCCATTCACCATCCTGACTTATAAATATATCATGGTTCCTTCAGTGACGCTGGGTCAAAATCTTGGAATTCCCTCCCTAAGGGCATTGTGGGTCTACCAACAGCACATGGGTTGCAATGATTCAAGAAGGCATTTCACCACCACCTTCTCAAGGAAACTAGGGATGAGCAATAGATGCTGGCCGAGTGAGCGAAGCCCACATCTCGTGAATGAATGAAGAATATTATATTCCGTTTGACAAATTTCTGCCTATTCACTCAACTGCTCATAATCATTACTCGGACATGGTTACAAGGAGGTCACAGTTCAAGGCTTATATATTCAGGGGTATGTGAGTTTTCAAACAGACAGGCAGGAAACAAAGCGTGGTGTGGTAGCTTTGTTAGTATGGGATGGAATAAGTACGATAGAAAGAAATGATCTTTAATCAGTGGAGGTAAAAAATAACAAGGGGAAGGCGGCATTGGTGGAACAAAGGAATTTGGAGCAAGAGTAGGCAATTCAGCTCTTTAACCTTGCTCTGCCATTTAATATAATCATGGCTGATCTTTTCCTGGTCTCAACTCCACTCTCTTGCCTGCTTCCTATTACCCTTTATCCTGCTTTTCATCAGAAACATATCTATTGCTTTCTTGAATCTGTTGATTGATTCTGCTTCTACCGCATTCTGGGGCAGTGAGTTCCACAGATTCATAACCCTCTGAGAGAAGTAGTTCCTCCTCTTCTCAGTTTTGAACCTACCTCCTCTCACTCTGTATCTATGACCTCTTGTTCAAGACTGTCCCACAAGGGGGATCATCTGATCCACATCCACCTCAATCAGATCTCCTTTAATTCTTCTGAACTCCAGTGAGTATAAGCCCAAGCTATTCAACTGCTCCTCATCCCTGGAATCAACTTAGTGAACCTCTTCTGAACTGCCTCCACTGTTACCACATTCTTCCTCAATTAAGGAGACCAAAACTGGAAACAATACTCCAGGTGTGGTCTCATCAACACCCTATATAATTGTAACAACACTTCTTTAAAAGTCTATAGGTCCCAATGCATTAGCTGTACTGCAGGACCGAGAATGCATCAGGAGATAATGGCAGCATGTTAAAAAAGAGGAAGTGCATTCATCATGGATGACTTTAATCTTCAAACAGATTTGGAAAATCAAATTGGAGACGTAGCCACAAGGACATACTTGTAAGAGTATATTGTGGAGTATATTTAGGTGGCACAGTAGCTAGCACTGCTGTCTCACAGCACCAGGGACCCAGGTTTGATTCCACCCTTGGACAACTGTCTGTGTGGAGTTTGCACATTCTTCCCATGTCTGCAGGGATTTCCACCAGGTGCTCTGGTTTCCTCCCACAGTCCAAAGATGTGCAGGTTAGGTGGATTGGCCATGTGTCCAGGGGTGTGTAAGTTAGGTGGATTAGCCATGGGAACTGCAGGGTCACAGGGATAGGGTAGGGGATGGGTCTGGGTGGGATGCTCTTCAGAGGGGCTGCGGACTTGTTGGGCCAAATGGCCTGTTTCCACACTATAGGGTGTCTAAGACTGTTTCCCAGGACAACATGTTGTTGGTCCAAAAAGGGATCAAGCTATTTTGCATCTGGTAACATGAAATAAGGCAGGTTTAATCAATGAGCTCAGAGTAAACGATCCCCAGGACACAGTGATCACAATTTTTGGTTTTCTGTCTCTCCTCTAGAATAATGGTATTTTATTTTGCTATTTACCAAACTGCTGGGACTTTGAAGGCTCTAGCCTCTATGGGAGGAGAGTGTATGTGGGAGAAACCAAGTGATAGAGAGGTTTGAGTGGCATAAATCATTAACCTCCACCACCTAGCAGGATTAGGGTAGCATGGAGGTGTGAACACCATCAGCTCCAAATTCTCCTCCAAGTCACATGCCATCCTGACTTGTCTGATATCCAGTACTGGCTGAGCAAAAATTTCCTCCAATTAAGTATTGAGAAGACTGAATCTATGATTTTTAGCTCCTCCTACCAACTCCATTCCCTGACTACTGCTCTCGTGCCTCTCCCTGGGCAGTGACACCCATCTCTCACTCTAGCAACTGTCCAAGGTGGATCAGACTGTTCACAAGCACAATGTCCTATTTCAACCCAAGAGCTTCAAACCACAGATTGCCATCATCACCAAGATCTCCCATTTCTATCTCAGTACCATCACCTGACTCCACCTTCATCTCAGCTCCTCTGCTGCTGAAACACTCATCTATCTCTTGGATGTTTACCACGTTAACTTAAGATACATAATAGTTGTAATTGTAAATTGTGAAGAGGACATAATCTGTCTAATCCACATTGCAATCTCCTTAAGTGAGTGAAAAAATATTTGGTGGGATTAGAAGATTGTTCACTTCAGCAGGAAGATTAGCAAAGTGATATGTTATTGAACTGCAGACAGATTGCAGCACCCTTAGACACAGAGGGGTCCAAGCACATGAATCACAAAAAGGTTAGAATGCAGGTACAGCAAGTGATTAGGAAGGCAAATGGATTGTGGCTTATTACAACAGGGGAATGGAATATACAAGTAGGGATGTTTTGTTATAGGTGTATATGGTCCTACAAGACTATATCTAGAGTGTTTTATTCAGTTTTGGTCTTCCTATTTTAAAAAAGGCACAAAAATGTATTGATTGTAAGAAGAGGTCTTCTGATAAGGAAGTGTTAGACAAGTTAGGCTGCTGTCCATTTGGAAGAATGACGATCTTCTTGAAACATACAAGTTCCTGAGGGGACTTCTCAGGGTGACTGCAGTAAAGAGAGAGACTAGAACTAGCACACATAATTCAAAAATAAGGGTTCTTGCACTTAAGACAGAGATGAATTGATTTTATTCTCAAGGGTCGAGTATCTAAGGTACTCTCTTCTGCAGAGAGCAGCTAGGCATGGTCATTTGATACTTTTGAGGCAGAGGTAGATTCTTTTATTTTGGGCCTCAAATAGAAATCTTGAATATAAACAAACATAATCTTAACACAGCTTCTGGTTATATCAAAGGATATAATCAGGACAGTGGAGTTGAGGCTACAATCAGATCAGCAATGGTCTTGTCAACTGGCAGGGCAGGCCTGAGAGGCCAAAATGCTGCCTTGTGCTCCTAATTTGCAATGGTGCCACTTCTACAGCATGGTATCCAGTTCTGGTCTTCACATTTTTGGAAAGACATGAGAGTCCTTGAGAGGGTGCAGAGATGGTTGGACTAAAGAAATTGAAAGGACAATTGATATAATGTAAGAGTAGGTAAGGTAGATAAAGAGATAACAAGGTGTAGAGTTGGATGAACACAGCCGGCCAAGCAGCATCAGAGGAGCAGGAAGGCTGACGTTTCGGGCCTAGACCCTTCTTTGGAAATGGGGGAGGGGAAGGGGGTTCTGAAATAAATAGGGAGAGAGGGGGAGGCGGATAGAAGATGGATAGAGGAGAAGATAGGTGGAGAGGAGACAGACAGGTCAAAGAGGCGGGGATGGAGCCAGTAAAGGTGAGTGTAGGTAGGGAGTTAGGAAGGGGATAGGTCAGTCCAGGGAGGACGGACAGGTCAAGGGGGGCGGGATGAGGCTAGTAGGTAGGAGATGGGGGTGGGGCTTGAGGTGGGAGGAGGGGATAGGTGGGAGGAAGAACAGGTTAGAGAGGCGGGGATGAGCTGGGCTGGTTTTGGGATGCAGTAGGGGGAGGGGAGATTTTGAAGCTTGTGAAGTCCACATTGATACCATTGGGCTGCAGGGTTCCCAAGCGGAATATGAGTTGCTGTTGCAACCTTCGGAGGCCCAGGATAGACATGTCGTCTGAGGAATGGGAGGAGTTGAAATGGTTCGCGACTGGGAGGTGCAGTTGTTTATTGCGAACTGAGCGTAGGTGTTCTGCAAAGCGGTCCCCAAGCCTCCGCTTGGTTTCCCTGACGTAGAGGAGGCCACAACGGGAACAACGGATGCAGTATACCACATTAGCAGATGTGCAGGTGAACATCTGTTTGATGTGGAAAGTCTTCTTGGGGCCTGGGATGGGGGTGAGGGGGGAGGTGTAGGGGCAGGCGTAGTACTTCCTGCGGTTGCAGGGAAAAGTGCCGGGTGTGGTGGGTCTGGACGGGAGTGTGGAGCGGACAAGGCAGTCACGGAGAGAGTGGTCCCTCCGGAAAGCAGATAAGGGTGGGGAGGGAAAAATGTCTTTGGTGGTGGGGTCGGAGTGCAGATAGCGGAAGTGTCGGAGGATGATGCGTTGGATCCGGAGGTTGGTGGGGTGGTACGTGAGGACGAGGGGGATTCTGTTTTGGTTGTTATTGAAGGATGAGTTGCGGGAAATGCGGGAGACACGGTCAAGGGCGTTCTCAACCACTGAGGGGGGGAAGTTGCGGTGCTTGAAAAACGAGGACATCTGAGATGTACCGGAGTGGAATGCCTCATCCTGGGAGCAGATGCGGCGGAGGCGAAGGAATTGGGAATAGATAAAGAATCTTTTTCCATTAGGTGATGGTACAAGGATTAGGGGAGACAGCTTTAACGTTTTAAGCAGAATTCTGTCTGTCCTTCCTAAATTGTGTTGCCCAGACCTCAACAAATTTAATACCACCAAGATTCTGGCACCCTTATCGCTCAGCTATTAATTCAGAAACTCAGCTAATATTCTGAGGATACAGGTTTGAATCTCACCGCAGCAGATAGTGGAATTGGATAAAGATGGTTTGAATTCAGTAAAATAAAAATCTGGAATTAAGAAATTACCGATGACCGTGAAACCATTTCCGATTGTCGGAGAAACCCATCTGGCTCACTAATGTCCTTCAAGAAAGAAATCTACCATCCTCACCTGGTCTGGCCTACACTCCAACCCACAGCAATGTGCTTGACTCTCAAATACTCTCTGGGCAATTAGGGATAGGCAATGAATGCTGGCCTAACCAGCGATGCCCACATCTTGTGAATGAATGAATTAAAAAAAGTTTCTCCAGATGTGGTCGAAACAGGGTTGGAATAACTTGGACTTTCTGTCATCAGATTATACCTGAAAATCCTTTCCCACAAACAGACTCGTTTCCTCCACTGTCCAAGGCCGGTGATTCAGGTCCTAGCGAATCAAGTGTGTCCATCAGATTTTTTTTAAAAAAAATTCGTTCACAGGCTGTGGGTCTCAGTGGCTAATTTATCATTTATTGTCCGTCCTTAATTACCCCGCTGAATGTGGGAATGAGCTGGCTTCCGGAACCGCTTCAACCCCGTAGGTACACCCATAAGACTAAAGGGAAGTTACGCTTGGTTTGAACTTGTTGACTGCAAATCCGACCCATTTAAAACCCTGTAAGTTGAAATTGTAAAACACCTTTCACTCAGATCAGGACAGAAATTCAGGAGAGACAAACATTTAACTGGGTTTGGGTTTGCTGTGTATAAATGCTCTTCCCGTAACCCCCCTGTAAAAAGGAGATCGCATATGGGCGCTGCTCCTTATTGCCCCCGACAAAGATGGCAGGCCACATGCGCCTTGCTGAACATCGCCCCTGATAAAAATGGCGGCAGTCACACCGCGTATGACTGTTCCTGCTGCGCGTCTTGGGCGCAAATTCGAAAGGAATATGTTATAGTTCAGATTTGGACGACTCAATCGATTGGTTATAAAAAGTCTCCTTCCCACATAATATACACCTCCTACACGCTTCGCCTGAATTTTACCCTTCACCCGCTTCTTTTTCCCTACAGTTGCTGCACCGCCCGTAGGAGGCAACAATGACATCACCCGTGATCGCGAGCAGCCACGATGTTCTCGTGGTTTCGGATCGTTTCTTTCGGCCCCTCTCATTCATTCTGAATGACCAGCTACCCCAGCCCCGCCCTCCATTCACACCCATTGGTTGGGGAACCAACCGCCGTTGTTCGGTCACAAAAATAGAATTTGTTGGAAAAGCTGAGTGGATTTGGCAGCATCTGTGGAGAGAAATCGGACTTAATGTTTCAGGTCTAGTGATCCTTCCTCAGCACTGATGGTAGCCAGGAAAATATCGATTTAAAGCAAAAGATAGGTGGGGGAGGGGGTAAGATGTAAACGATAGCTGGCCATGATGTGGAAGTGCCCGTGTTGGATTGTTGTGGACCAGGTCAAAAATCACGCGACACCTGATTATAGTTCAGGGTGTAGAGCTGGATGAACACAGCAGGCCAAGCAGCATCAGAGGAGCAGGAAGGCTGACGTTTCGGGCCTAGACCCTTCAGAAAATCATTTTCTGCTCCTTCCTGTTCGGCCTGCTGTGTTCATCCAGCTCTACACCTTGTTATCTCCGATTCTCCAGCATCTGCAGTTCCTACTATCTCTGGTTATAGTTCAACTGGTTTATTTGAAAACACAAGCTTTTGGAGTCTTTTGGTGACAGAGAGGTGGTATCAGACACAGATTTTACAAGGACAAAACCAAAGGGTCAGAGAACTGATGCAATTGTATTGAACAAACCTTTTAAATCTTTAATCAGTTAGGAAGGAATTGTGGTTTTCGATTGATTAGAATGCAAATCCCAGAATTCCTCTGAAGTCACTGCCCTAAGATAACAAAAAGGTTTTATCAGGATACCAGAAGTAGTATCTCCAGTTAGACAATGCATTTTAGGTATGAGGCCTTGTTTAGAATCTGTATTTTAACTTGGAGTCAGACTGGTTTTAATTCCAAAGTAGGAATTTATAAAATGCCATAGCGACTGTCCATGAATTGTGTGCTTTTTGAACAAAATACAATGTATTTGCAAATGCAAATTCACCCCAGAGGTTTATATGTGAGGGAGGACAGGGAGAGAAAGGGAGGCAGAGAGAGAGAGAGAGACACAGATACACAGGCAGGCAGGGGAGTGGGGTGGTAGAAGAGGTATGAGTGAGCCCAAAGAGAGAAAAGTTCTGAGGAAAGATCACTAGACCCAAAACGTTAACTCTGATTTCTCCCCCACAGCTGCTGCCAGACCCGCAAAGCTTTGCGAGCAATTTCTGATTTTGTTGTTTCGGATTTGCAGCATCCACAGCTCTTTTGTGTTTTTTTTTAAGAATATAAATGATGGAAACACTCGAGAGTCTATAGGAGTTCTTTTTTGTGTGGTTTGATGCCACCCTGTGATACTGAGTTCACTACAGACTGGTGGAGAAGGCAAAGTCTAGAATTGTCTTCAGGCTTGGATGTCAAAGTTGCACTACTTACAATATATTAGTACTAAATACTGTTATATATATTGCCACTTTCGGTAAGATGGCAATGGAGTAGGAGGGTCCTTCAGCCAGAGCCTGTCCGCTCTGTCCATTCCTTTTCTTTTTCCTCTCTTCTGTCTTCTCAGATTCTTGGCTATGGACACCCAGCCCCAGCCTCTGGAGCTGGGTTGATGGCCTAGAGCAGGGATGCTAGTGACCAGCAGTCCAGTGCGAAGTGCGGGCAGCGGCCTGGTGTGGAGCATGGCGACAGCCAGCAGTCAGACCACGTGAAGGCCCCCTGTGCTCGTCTGCTGATGAGAACCCTTGGAAAGAGACTGTAATGTTTGTCTTTTTAACTTTGCTTGTTTTCTGACCTATGGTTACACGGTTTATAACTGTAATGTAACTTCTTTTCATTTCTCTGTTCTGTAACTAAGGATTGTACCTAGGTACTCTTAACTAGATACCCAGTATTTAGTATTAATATATTATAAATAGTGCAACTTCGACATCCAAGCCTGAAGACAGTTCTAGACCTAGGTACAGATTCTTCAGTTACAGGTTAGTTCCAGGGTAACTGTACCTTTGTAATGTGGTGACTTAAACTTTTCACTGTACTCATCAGTACATGTCAATAAAGCTAATTCATTCATATAGACATACCAGGCTCTGATCCTATAGTTACAATAGGTGAAGACTAATCTGTCTTTGTGTTCATGACCATGCAATCTTTGTCTTTCCAATCTAGACTAGTGCAGTCTGAGGTAGTACCTTCCATCTGTTTCAAATGCACCCACACTGCGCTATCTATACCCTGTTGATATGCAGCATTACATGTTTGCTTCAGGATGCTCAAGCCCTTAAACACTATCCAATTCTTCCAGCTGGAACGCACACAAATATACCAACCAAAGGATCCAGGAGACCCTGAGCAGTCACCAACTTATAGCTGCAGGGAGGTTTCCGAGGTACAGAGGACTGTTAACAAACACACTGCCATTAGAAACTGACTCTCAGTTACCATTTCTCCAAATCTGGGGATGTGAGGCGATGTGAGGCTGAGATTCTATTCATATAAGTAGTGTTCACAAAAGAACTGCAAAATCAACATCTGTTATCTGCAACACATACCAAAGAGAGTTTTTGTACTCTAGGCAACTTCTATCAACACATCTCACAAATCAACATCACATTGGAGGTCTGAGCAAGGGTCACCGGACTCAAAACCTCAACTCTGATTTCTCTTCACAGATGCTGCCAGACCTGCCGAGCTTTGCCAGGAATCTGTTTTTGTTTCCAATTTATACAGAATCCACAGTCCTTTTGTTTTCTACTACATTAGTCTATCATGCTTTAAATTCTAAGTTACCAGATGTCTGTACCGCTGTGAACTAGTGGTGCAGACAGCAACATTCTTAGTCTTCTACATCAATCTTGTAAAGCAGGACTAATTTAACCAGAACAATGGCACAGTGGGTACCGCTGCTGCCTCAGTGCCAGGGACCCAGATTTAATTCCAGCAATGGGTGATTGTCTGCATTGAGTTTGCACACATTCTCCCCATGTCTGCATGGGTTTCTGCTGGCTGCTCAGTTTCCTCCCACAGTCCAAACATGTGCAGGCTAGGTGGATTAGCCATGTGAAACATGGGGACGGGGAGGAAGGATACTCTTCTGAAGGTTGGTGCAGGCGAAGGTGGCCAAATGACCTTTATCTGCACTGTAGGAATTCAATGAATTAGTTCTGCAAAGTGCAGTCTGTGTAGTAACAGCTGATGATTTACTAAGTGGGAGAGTTTAAAATAAATTAATTCAGACTGATACAACTTACAATGAGATCTGTCCAGTTATGAGCAAGGATATTTCAACGTAACTCCGACAAATAACTTCATTCACTCCTCTTCACCCCTCCCCCAGAAGATCTGAACCAGTCACTAGATTTTCTGCTTTTTCTTAAAAAAATGAATGAGGAATCTTTCCACCAATCCAATGTGATGAATAAAGACAATTTGTTGTTGTGAGTTGTACGGTTTGGACTAGAAGAATGAAGGAGTGGGATGGACCCAGAGCCTGAGATGCACTTAAAAGGTGCGTGAACACACAATCTTGAAAGTAGAAACGAAATATGGAGAGTGGTCACTGAATCTGCAACAAATGGATGTGATGCGTGGAGAGATGTGTGGGACAGATTTAGAATAAATAAATTTCAATAGCAATTAGAATTGCATGTTTTGAAATTAATATTCAGTGATGACTCTTGTAAACTATGTTATAAGAACAAAAGAACTAGGCGCAGGAGTAGGAACTCAGACCCTCAAATGTGTCCACCATTCAACAAGATCATTGCTGATCTTTTCTTGGCAACAACTCCAGTTTCCCGCATCCTCCCCATAAATAATGAACAATCCCTATGTTGTCAACTTTTTCTTAATGGGACAGGCACAAAATAGGAACTCACATGTGTTGGAGCTGCTAAAAAAACTTGACACACTGTATTTAACACAAAGCTGATTTTTTATTTTAGCCACAACATTAACATGAACAGAAAAAGATCCCAAGGAAAATAGTTCAGGCCTGGATGTGATGAACAGAAAAATCCAATACAGTTACTTGTGAACCATCTCAGTAGCAAACCCCATCCCACGCTCAGAAACGGAACAACCTCTCCCTCACGTGAACTTGCTGCTGTAGAGGGAGTTCAGATAATTTCCTGAACACAGTCCTGCGATGAGAGCACTTGAACAGTCTCTCGCCAGTATGAACACATTGATGGTACATCAGTTTCAGGGAACTGATACAGCACTTCTTGTAGAATGGGTGGTTTGAAATCACTGGTGACACAACTGATGCGAGAGTGCAGTGAATCCCTTCTGATGCAGATGGAAGAGGTAAACTAATCAGTGGGAACTTAGTGGTGACTCAGTATCTGGGAGAATGGACTGAATCCCTTGCAAACGATGGAGCAAGTAAAACAATTATTCAGTGTGAACTCAGTGGTGATTTAGCAGCTTGGCTCAATTCACATTTCCCCTTTCCCC